GCATTCCTCTGGAAACATAGTTTGGAAATTCAGGATCAAATCAATCAGTAGGAGGATGAGGGAAGATGGGAATAAGACATAGCCTACCGAATCAACTGTTTCTAGCTTCATGCCGATGGATTTTACAAACTGGCGGATCTCGGGATTCACCCGTTGGATGTTTCCTCCGCACCCGAGAATTAAGAGCTCTGAAAAAAAAGGGAGAAATCAGAAACATCAGCAAATGACATCAGAATTAGAAATCAATCATGAAATCGTAGCAGATTGCCCGAGAAGGGTATTTGCAAAAATCAGCTCTTTGTAATCTCAGCTCGATATGGTGCCGTCACAAGAATCAAACACTTTCTTCTAAGCTAATGGTGGTGGATGATGGAGAAGAAGAGAAAAGAGTATTGTTTTTAAGGAAGGGTAAAACTTAGAATCGCGAGGGAGTAGGAATATTACCTGGAATTGGCCGTATGGTCTGGAAGATAGATAAGCTGCACTCATGGAAGAGAAAGGTCAAATGTTTTGATACTGTTTATCAACAAAACATGCTCAGAAACTAAACACAGAGAACCGAAAGCAAAGGAGAACACCAGCTGAGTGATGACCAAGATTTTACCAAACAAATAAATCCGGTAAGATACAAGAACTACAGTATATTAAGCCTTCAGGAAAAGAATCCAAGCAAAGAATCGTGTCTAGAATTCGGAATTACACAGCTCAGCATACGAATGCCTATTAAGGGGCATCACCACCCTCTCCTGTATTAGCGAGCTACCACGGAAACCTTCAACCAATCTTCATCTAATGAACAAACTTTCTTCAAAAAACTCGCCAAAAACTCAGCTAGAATCACTATAAAGGAATCGAAACATTGGTACAAATGTAAGGCAGAGATATATTCTTCTTTCATGGAGCAATGTCAATGTAAAACTTTACAGACTTAATGCTGATTTTTTTTCTAAATTTTCACTAATGTCCATGGCCAATAAGGATGGTGCCAATGATGGGCAACAATAAGAGAGAGGAGGATACCTATCAGGGGTGACCTCGGAGAACTTGCGAGGGCTCCAAGACATAAGCAAATTCCCAACACAGAGCAAACTGCCTTCGTATTTGATTCCATTCACTGTGAAACTCGTGTCATCGAATCTGCAAAAATGGAGAGGACCCATCAGAGATTGTACACATCGAAATCAAAAGCCGAAAGCTTTCACCTCGCTAAGCATGAAGACCGTATTCAAGTTCAGGCATTTCCACCAAACCCAGAAGCAGGAAGAAATTCAAAGGCAATCACGAGCACGGAAATAGGCATTGACGAAAATAAGGAACGGATATCAGAGAGACGAAGAAGAGGGAGATAATTGATTGGGATTACTCTTGGAAACGAAGCTGGTCTTCCGGGACATTGTCGATGAGATTGATCTGATCATACAGAGAGAAAGCCCGTCTAAGAGACGGCAAGACGGGATTCGTGTGCTTAGGGACTTCCTTTCTCAAGCTTCGAATCAGCTTCGGCAGTGTCGCAATCGCCTTCTGCCTCCCCGCCATCTGTCTCTTCCCGGTATCCAAACCCTCTTTCACCGTCTGAGTTGTGAGGGGCGGCGATTTGTGCATCCGTCGAACTTATAACCGAACCGGTTCAGTAGCTTCCTTCCATCAGTCATCGATTTCAATTTGTGTTAACCGATAACCAGACCGGTTTACCTTAATCATTGGTCCACGTTCTACTAAAAATTGTGAAATTTTTCGTATATATCGGGCATATATGCTAAAAAAAACTCTGAAATTCCATTAGAATCCTACATCACCGTATATGCATACTAAATGCTTTGATTCTGTATCCAGTTATGGTCATCTCCAGACCTTCGAAACCAAATTAAACCGAAAGAACCGGATGAAACACAATCACAGATTCAGGACCATAAAAGTCGAATTCGTAATGTCAGCAAGTACAAAGTCATAAGCAAAAGAGTTAAAAAGGGGACAAAATCTTAAAACTTGCATGCATTACCCTCTTCATATTCTCAGACATAAAAAAATCAAAGAATGCTTTCGGATGTTCTGTATTTGTTTCAACCAAAAAAAAAATTTGTGAATTCGCCATGTTTTAGGAAGATGAGAAGGAAGGAGCCGGCAGAAAAGGGAATGGTGCAACAGATGCGTACGCCACAGGGGGGCGAGCTCTGCTCTTCTTTCGGCGGCGAGTTCTGTCATCGTCATCACCATCTGTAGCTTCCGATGCAGAATGCTCGGACATCTTCTTCTTCATCGACCCGACATCTTCAAGGAACTGCTGATTGTCATCAGAGACACGGTGCAAGAGCAGACCAGACATGAAAACGGGAAGGAAAAGAAGGCTGGCATGGAACATCTTCCTTGCTTTCTGAGTGGTTCGGTCTCGGTAGAATGAAAATGCTGTTGCGGCAATTGCAAGTGTGAGGAGGGTTGATTCCATGCAAAACCAGCCTGATGCCAAACCCCCTGTCCATATATTGCAATAATTCATGAAAAACAAACCCAACGACAGGAAATAGAGAAAGAAAAGAAGCAACAGCAGACCGATTGATATTAAATCCTGAAGGTAAAAACAGAAGAAATAGCATAAAAGAATGGACTATGACTTACAATCATAGGCTAAGAAACCGAGAGGAACCATATACAAGCAGTTCCTAAGAGCCACTGCGGCTGTCCTCTGCCCAGAAGGATCAAAAAGCGAGAACATCTTATACCTGAATATCAAGACAGATGAAAATTAAACCTTTTTGGTTTGTAGCAACATGGAGCTTGTTATTCAAAAAGAACAAAACATGATTTCCGTAGCTAGTCTAACCAAGATAGGCAGCACTCCAATCTCATAAAAAACTGAAATACTGAGCAGCTGGAACATTTTGGTTCATATGTACATACCCTCCTGCAGCATAATCATTACGGCACAGGTACGCAAGGGCCATGAAGTGAGGGATCTGCCAAAAGTATAGAGCAGCTGGAAGAATCATCGAATTAAGTGAAATCTGACCAGAGGCTGCAGCCCACCTGAAAACTCCAAAATAGACGAGCATGTAAAGACACACAAGCATGACACGAAATAGGAAACTGGTTACAAAGTATGCTGAAAACTGTAACCAATCAATACTGAAATAGGCAATAAATTCAAATGAAACCGAGAGAAAAAGAAGAGAGTTACCCAAGCAAGGGTGGGATAGCACCAACAACAGCCCCGACCCATGTGTTGACAGGATGAAGCTGCTTCAACGGAGTATAAACAAATGCATAAAGGAAAAGATTGGCAGATGCAAGACCAGCAGCCAACATATTAGCCTGCAATAACCTTGTCGCAGAAGCATAAGATCAGACCCTGTCTAAACTTTTACCAGTCAGACATACTAAATCCAGTAATACATAGAAACAAGCAGTCACCTTGCAAGCCAACAGAGAAGCACCAGCAGCACCGGTAAAAGATGCCCACACAACAGCATGGGTTACACTGATGCGCCCTGAAGGCAACGGCCTTTGTCTTGTTCGCTTCATCTTGGCATCATTGCTTATTTCAAAAATCTAACGAAGAAGGAAATTGAGCCATTAGAAGAAAAAAAACTCAAAGGCTACACAACTGAAGTACATGTAACACATAATCCAAACAAATGTTGATTCTTCGGCTTCAAAATCAAGATTCGAACATTTATGGGGGAAAGCTAATATTTTTAACCACTGGTATTGCAATAACATGTATTCCTAGCATCACGCAGACTATATTACCATTATCAAAGCCACACAAGGACATTGACAAATTTGTAAACTAAACGAAAATGAAGAAGAATGAAAAGAGGTGAAACCTGATTCAAGGAGTTAGCAGATGCAGCAACCATCATCGTACCAGTACATGTGTAACAGAGCCCGGCAAAGTCCATTGCAGCATCTCCAGTCCCAAGAACATATCCGGTTCCAGAAGTTGCAACCACAAGCATGCTACAAACATCGGACAAGTTGTGTGCATAACTATACACTTCCGGGTTATAAAAAAAAACTATACACTTCCGAGATACGACTCCAATCCTAACCTCGACGATTACCCATTTCTAGTTTCATTAGAGACTAGAGGTAGACATACCTGAGTCGAGCTTTGGAAAGCTCCCAATAGCATCGAGCGTAATGGCGCCCTAACCCAACCGCCGACGGAACTCTGGATGAAAGTTCACCGGCGGTGGTGGCGGATGCGGAGGTTGACATAAAAGCTCGAACCACATTGGACCTTTCTGCCGGAATCGCTAGCTTATCAGCTGAGCCCGAAAGCGGAGGATCGGAGACGCTGTTTACGGCACGAAGCTCGCGGGACCAGGGAATCAATCTAGGGTTTGGCGAGGAGGAGGAGGACAGGAAGATCCTTGAAGACAAATACGATACAGAAGATCTTCGCCACATCGTATGAACTGGTCTCCGATCGATCTTTCTGATCTACAACAGGTTGAAGAACATAGAGAGATGATGCCTCATCATCCCCTGAGGCTTGAGCCACAGTGACTTTTGCGACGACGTTTCTTTGCACATGTCCAGTTACTTTTGGGGTTAAAGTGTAATAACCCGACAATTCGGGGTGTTTTTTTAATTACGGCGTTATTCAATATTCATATTTCATAACTGCAGCAGTGCAGTGAAAAACATATACGAACATTGAAAATTTGCGACTTTATTAAATTTCTTGTACAATGGTATTCGTATACAACCCTATACGCATAATTACAGTAAAAATAAATCAAATCAAAGAATCATTTTTCATATCCTCCTATAAAATTCTACCCCCACACCGTATAAATTCAACACCTTGAAACGTACAAATACGCAAAGAATAAGTCGGAGTATACGGACAAAACGAATAACCTCGCACGCGCCGAGCGGCCGTATTCCTCAGGTCCAAAGAAACCTCCGGTGATCGGGAAAATCTTCACCAACGCCACTAAGCCGATTCACTGCCTGAAAATACCAAAATGCCCTTGAACTCGGTCTCTCACTCGGATTTATGACTCGGAGTGTCCCGCCGAGCCATTGCACATGCACTCGGGGACCGGATGTTTCGTGACATCTTTTCCGGCTTTGCTTGTTCTCATCTCAGGTTGTCCTAACGACTCTCCGTGAAGCTCTTTCACGATCCTTTTGAACTCAGCTTCGGGCAAGGACGAGTTCATGAAGTACGGAAGCATCTGCCTCTTGTTCGGTGTAATGTACTTCTTGTGCCCCGCATATGCTCTCTGCCCCTGTGAAAACACGTCACTTGTCAATGTTTTCCTGAGATGGGCATGTTTGTATACGCGTCTATATGTATGTATGTGTGTATGTATGGATATACCTGTAGGGCATGACCCATGTTTCCTCCATGAGAGGGCATGAACACATCGCTCTTCTGGCAGACTATATAGTCGATGGCAGCCATTACTGATGCTTTATTGGCAAAGGGTTCGAGTTCACTGGGCAAGGCAAGGTCTTGCTTGTTGTATAAGTGAGGGAATTCTGTGTTCAACGGCTTTAAAGCCTCTTTCCCACCCAGTGGCTCTCCTCCCGCCCAGTATATCCTCGTGTTTCTTGGAGCATCGAGCGCTTTAAGCAGCCTTCGATCACATAAACCACCACACAGAAAATCAGAGAATGTTCAATGTTGTTACCACAGATGGAGCGAGCATATGGATTATTTATGATTCCTCGAGTGTAATTGTACCTAGTGACTTCCACAGCGTTTAAAGGGCATAGACCGGCAAGCTTTCTCTCGTGATAAGTCATGTTTGACCTAGCGGTTAGAAGCTCGGGATGGCGTTTTCTTTCATCGTTCACTATCTCATCGTACTCGGGACTCAGACCCGGGAGGCAACCTGTCCGAACCCATACATCTTTCTCCATCCGAAGATGAAGGGAGAGGTAAGGTCCCTCGCTACGCATCCTCTCAGCCAGTCTGTTACCGAGCTCTTGAATTCTCGGCGAAAATCTCAGCGCCTGAAATGCAACCTGGAATGGAAAAAGAAGGTGTCAAAACAGATTTCACAAAAAAAGAAAAGAAAAAGAAGACTAAGCCGAGATGTTTTCGAAGAGGTATTTGCCTTGCAACGGAGTTTCTGTAGATCCGGTGGAAGGTCCTTGGAGAGTCTTGAATCGAGACCGCGCAGAAGCAACACTCTTTCAAGGTTA